GTGCAATTTGCGGTCGAATATTTTATCGAGATACTAATATGGCAGATAAGGTCTATGTCCCCCTGACCTCTGTTTGACCTGGCTCGTTTATATATAGTCAGAAATAGCTAAACGAGCCAGGTCAAACAGAGGTCAGGGGGACATAGACCTTATCTGCTTAACTTTTCTTATAGACCTTTACCTCTTATACACTGTATAAGAGAAACATGTACATTACCATGTTTCTGTCAGCTGTGGCGACCTGCCAAGATGATTTTACAAAAACAAGCAGTTTCTACTTGCCCCTTAATGCAATAACACTGCAGTAATCAACAAGTACCTTGTGCAAAACAAATATTAATGCTTAAGCAAGTATAGACCTCTCTCTGCCATTGATACAATGAGACAGGGCCCCACTTTTTTTAGACCAGGGGCCTGTTGTCAGAAACAAATTAATCTTAACATTAGTCTTAACATTAACTTCGACTCGTTAACCATTGACAGAAACATCGTAATGTTACGAGAACAAAAAATCCTTGCAAATATCCTCTTAACATTACGAGAGCCCAGACCCTCTCGTAACTTTAATATTAAGTTGAAAATAACACATTTACACTACAAATTACAATTATAGTGATATTATATTTTATAATAATGAATAGTGTGTTTTTCTTGAAAAACACGTCAAAATCATTAATTATCTACCGCAAATAAAACAAAACAATACATTTACAAATGGCGTATGGCATTTGTTCTCTTGTTTTAAATGTTTGCCATGCTTGGCACGACTCTCGCGTCTCGTGTTACAGTGTGAGAATTTGTCTTGTTGTGCAGAATAAATTCATGACCACGTCAATTTTCATCAAATATTATTTATATGTGGTTAGCCATCATAATATGCATAAATTACTGTGATGTACAATAAATGTGTATGAATTTGAATTTTGTGATCGATTCTCATCCAATCAGCAGCCTTGTGACATAAAATTATGAAGTTGTCGTGTGTTTGCTCGTAGCTACAATGTGTTTCTGTCAACGCTACTCTCTTAGCATTAACATTAGTCGTAAGTGTTATCGTAGCATTAACATTAGCATTAACTTTACGATGTTTCTGACAACGGGCCCCAGAGCTTTGCCACTACATTTCCAATGCAGATTTTTCAGAAACCAAATATTTCACTCACTTGATTCCTTTCATTGCTTTCTTTTTCTCAGGGTCTTGCTGACGACATATGTTTAGATCAGTGCGTCTGTAGGTGGAAAAGATGCAAGAGTATTAAGGAACGTGTACAATTTAAACCTCTTTAACAATTAAATACATTGAGTGCGTGCATGTGTGCATGTGTGAGCACCAAGTTGTTTCAACACATCAATATCTCTCACAGATAAAACAACAAATAACTGCACATGAAACATAGAATTTCACATGCAAATATCATTGAACTCATAAAATTAAACAAATTTGCCAGGAAAATAATGTTTACACAAGTTGAATAACACCATAAACTAAGTGAAACAAGCATTAAATCTAAAACTATCATGAGGTACCTAAATCAAGAACCTACAAATAGGACAACGCACTCAACCAAAAATTTAACAATCACGAGAATATGTCGATGAACATTGATGAAACAGACAATATTCATGATAAAAGAGGTAACAATACCTGATCCATGAATCTACAAACATGGCGAGGTTCATCGGGTTCAGTTTTAGCAGATTCTCCCTAAATATCGTCACCAGGTCATGGTTGAGTTCAGTCGTGTCCTAAAACATAAAGCATTTCCGTGGTCAATCTTGTAAGTCTGTAAACTATTTATCCTGGTAAGACTGCATATGATTTTATACAGGGTCACTTTAGCAGTGTGAACAAACAGCATAGTGAAATACAACATACCCTCGTTTATAGCATTTACTAGTTGGAAAACTATATGTAATGATTATGGATTACCATTTACCATTGAAGTCAAGGACATCGTCCAATTAATTCATTGCAATAAACTTTTTGAGATAATGGTGTAAAATATTTGCAGGTAAATTTATTCTTGATCTGGGAAGGAAGCAAGACACAACCCGATTGGGCCAGGATAATGAACCAACCATCTAAAGGAGGCATACAACCGTAAGCCTCCGCAAATTGTTCACAGTTGCACTATTTCGTCTCTAGAAAAGGCATTTTTTGGCATTTTCTTTCGCTGAAATTCGCCACTAGAGTGCAATAATTTGCATTATGCACGCAAGTTAGATGCTTCGTGGACGTCTAGAAAGCATTAGAAGTAAAATTTGTCTTGTTGTGTATTCGTGACATTCCGTCAGGTGGCGTAGCCACAGCAACCGGTTGGTCATTTTTGTGTTTGAAATGTGTTCAGACAACTTTGCAGAAATTCGCATCATAGAGCTGGCAAGTTTCGAGCGGAGCATAGAGCTTGAATCTGTAGTTATTTAACATGGATAAAGTGTATGTTGTGTAAGCGAAGTAACAGTGTGAGTATTTTTAATTAATTTCTGTTTGATGCTTATTCAGGCCTGCTGCCTATGGACGCCCTCTACTATTGTTCACCACTTTAAGCCGCCTGGTAAGGAGAGCTGTTCTGCCAAAGAAATCGAATAATTGAGTTTTATGTTAATGAAAATCAGTTATGCAAGTCCTCTAGCATGGTTTTTAGACACATGCATGTTCAAATGACATTTAAACATGTATTTTATGTAAACATGTACATATCCGTGTACATAATACGTACATGTTATTTACATATCTACATTAAAATACACTCATTTTACACACATTTGGTGACATAAAATAGATAATTATCCTTGTTTCACTCTTTTGTGGTACTCCTAAAACTAACAGTATCAAAATATCGAACTTTGTTGGTTGCAATTCACCCTAACCCTCGTTCTAACACTGCGCATAACTGCATGGAGCGAACATTAATTTCCATTGATTTCTGTGTTTTGAGGGCTCATTTCAGAGAGCCATATCTCAGCTCCTGGAGTCATGCCACATTTGAAATTTGGTAGCCCTATAAGGAAAAGGCTCTATATTATTTATCTAAAATTTCAATTCGATCCGTTTCTCCGCTGCTCATTAAGGAGGCATACAACAGTAAGCCTCCGCAAATTGTTCACCGTGGCACTATTTCGTCTCTAGAAAGGGCCTTTTTTGGCTTTTTTTTCGCCGAAATTCGGCATCGTGCAATTATTTGCATTATGCATGCAAGTTAGATGCCTCGTGGACGTCTAGAAAACATTAGAAGTAAAATTGGTCTTGTTGTGTATTCGTGACATTCTGTCAGGTGGCGTAGCCACAGCGACCGGTTGGTCATTTTTGTGTTTGAAATGTGTTCAGACAATTTTGCAGAAATTTAACGGAGCATAAAGCATGAATCTGTAGTTATTAAACATGAATAAAGTGTATGTTGTGTAAACAAAGTAGTGTGAGTATTTTAATTAATTTCTGTTCAGTGCTTATTCAGGCCTGCCGCCTATGGACGCCCTCTGCTGTTGTTCACCACCTAAAATACAGGGGATCACCGCTCTTATACAGAGCTGCCCTCTATCGGCGATATAAAGTATTAACCACAACTCAAACTCCCCGCACTACTCAATTCACGCGTTCAATTCATGATTTTCACCCCACCAATTTCACTCTCACTCTCTCACGCACGCACACACGCACACACACACACACACAGTTAAAGGGGCAGTAGCCTCTAGAATTTTACTGCATACAACTGTACTTACTGTATAACAAATCGTCTATACCCACACGTATTCGTTACCAGATACCTAAATTAATTGTTATAATTAATTACACATCAACGCTACGAAATTTGAACGGCGCCATGACACCCGCGACCGTGCTGCTACCCCGAAAAAGTTGCGTATTTGACAATTTATTTTGCACGTTACCGACCGAGGGCTAATCACAAAAGTGCAATTATATTTATACCTAAATGCTATTTAACCAAACGATATTTATTTTAGGCAAATTTATCCATATTAAACTGAACTATCATGATTCGTTTATACGAATTACAAATCCTTTTGCTTTTTAATGAATAAATAAGAAAGCACCCTCGGTCTGTAGCCCTTGGCTGGAAAGTGGTTTTGCGAACTTATGCAGATCGTTGCGCTTTTGAGTGGGCCGCCACCGTTGTTGTAATCAAACTGTAGTCGTTAGTTTATAAAACATAAGAAAAAAATTTCTAGATGGTGATTGAATCATGAAACTTTTTATGTAGCGTAATTATAACCAAAATTAGCTGAAAATAACCCTAGAACCTAGAGTAAACTCTCCCTTTAACTGTTAAACTGCCACGTGTCAAACAGCAGCACATCTACTAAAGTTGGACTGTACATTAACCATACGATTACTCATTAATGCACCATGTGCATATATATTATTATATATATATATATATATATATATATTATATGTGTGTGTGTGTATAGAACAGAAACAACAAATGGTGAACTGGCTATGGCACAAATGTACATGGAGCTCTTCTCAGCCCTTTAACACATGTCAGGTCCAACATGCATTCATAGCTGTAGCTAATTTGCAACATCCTATAAATCCACATTTCTTTTATTGCCTAATCGGCATGCCTTAATTTCCTGCTGTATTTAGTGTTGACAGATCCAACACAGTCATGCTGTGTTTTTACAGGTTGGTGTAAGCCTGTCTGAACTGAGCAACTTCATTTGTGTATTGGGGCAGCTTATAATGCATAATTGACTCCAATTAGTAATCAAGAATAAATTGCCTAACTGCTTGACATACCTTCTGAAATTCCTGGGAATAACCCTGGTACATCAGCCACGTATCATAAACTCCGCGGAATAGTAGGAGCTATAGCTGTAACTATAACTGTAACTGATATAAGCTATGTTTTACCTCGTTCTCTCAATATACTACTGTTCCTTCGCTTACTTACCTTGCCAAAGTGATGCCACAGAAGGTAATCCTGACTAAACTCGGTCATGCCTTTTCCGCGCAGGTACCAGTTGCTCACCTGCACAGAGAAATAGGAACTTGGCTATAGCCAAACGAGACACTCAAACATACCCAAATGGTAAGCACCACAATTCCTCTAGACAAACAAAAACAAGAACTTTGTTTGCTATTGGTGTATCATTTTTGCAATGGTTGCATAGGTAGTGCCATAAACATGTTGAATAAGCTTTCAGCCTTATAAATATAATGACCTATAGCTAACAGTTACTACCTAGAACACAATATGCTATGACTTTGTGATATTATTATTATTATTATTATTAAGTGTATAAAAATTTCTATACATATGTCCATGATATCGCATATCGCTGGTTTTAACCAAAGGTCGACTTGTGACTACCACTAAAATATTTCAAATTGTGGCAAGAATTTCCTAGTCTAATAGATGCACCTCTGGTTAACTTTTGTTTTTAGTTTTGTATCAGTAGCAGGGCCCAAAGATGTTAATTACTCAATGATATCAAATTTTAATAAATTTGTGCCATTTCTGTTAACTCAATGTACTAAAAATGTATTATCACCACACCTCAGTGCAGCATTATTTCTTTAATCCCACGTTGGCAACAATAAAAACACACTGGTCAGTTCGACCTAACACTGTAAACTGGACTGTCACCAACTGGGATATGTCGTGGTAACAATTATAGTATTACACGGTAAATGGGAGTACCTACACTAATAGAAAATGACAGGGTACAGTCACCGTATAGTCTCTAGTAGAAGCTCTAACCACTCAGTTTTGCAAGAGGATCAATTTCTGTATCACAAATTTACAGGTTATAATTAACATATCACAATTTGCAAATTATGTATGAATAAATATCGTAACCCACGCCGTATATACCAGTACAGGAGGGAACAGTATATATGTTATATAATAATATATATATATTACCACGTCTGCCCCCTACAGAGGGCAGCACATACAGTACATTGCTATTGCTGGTTGCATTATAAGTGCATGTAAAGAAAATATAGAAAAAAGATATAGAAACTAATACTATATAAGAGAGAGAGAGAGACTCTCGATCTACTCACTTCACAATCACAATTCACAATATCTGTTCTATATCTTTGGTGTACCGTCACAACATGACTAAATTTATACATACGTTCATGCTATGCGATGCTATTCTTATGTAAATATATAAGTGGCATATGCTCTTAACAATGCCAATGCCAAAGTCACATGATCGATCTCGCAATATTTATCCCGATTTTAATCGGTAACCAGCACACAAGACATAGCGTGTGCGGGATACACCGATTATTTCCTGCGATAAAATCCGGCTACTAAGTGCACCAGGCTTAACATCTGCGAATACCCAATATTGCTAAGCGCCTTATTATGTTTCAATCACTAGTTCTGGTTAGCAAGCTATGGCTGTTAGCAATTTCTCAAGTGTAACATGTAACAGATGTGCAGCTACTTCGATTTGCTCAAACATGCCCTACATTGATGTAGGAAGATATTTCAGGTAGCTGTTAGAGAATAAAAGCACACCTGCATGCCTGCCCTCGTACATGCATACACACAGGCCAGGCATGCAAACGTGCACACGCACACACGCACGCACGCACTCACGCACACGCACGCACGCACGCACGCACGCACGCACGCACGCACACACACACACGCCCCCCCCCCACACACACACGCACGTACACACACGTGCCCGCACGCGCGCACGCATATACATGCACAGTCACGCACTCGCGGCGTGCGGGGAGCGCATACAGAGGCGCACAAAACGCACGCACGAGAAAAAACGCGGTCAAAGATACCAGCGGCAGCGTGCACTAACGAGGTAGATGTGGAGAGAGGAGGAGCTTGCAAGGACGAGCGCCGGGGAAGTAGGACACGAGCGAGGCAGAACGAGAGAGGGAGCAAGACTCTAACTGAGAGATGCCGCGTAAGTAAATGAGAGCTGAAAAGTGGGGACAGAGAGATAGAACAGAAGAGAGAAAGAGAGAAAGAAAGCGAGAGAGAGAGAAAGAGAGGGACACAGAATAAGGAGAGAAAGCGAAAAAGGAAAAGGATATTGATCGAAGCGAGAGAGAGGAAGACATACAGGGATAGAGAGAGAAAGAGAGAGAAAGAAAGAGATAGAGAGAGAGAGAGAGAGAGAGAGAGAAAGAGAGCCAAACAGGCACACAGCGAGGAAGAGAGAGAGAGAGAGAGAGAGAGAGAAAAAAGAAATAGCGA